CATGTATACTACGCTTAGAAAATCATTTCGGCACTTCCACGTGGTGTAATGGTTAACAAGCTGGTTCCGCTTGATCTATTACGATTGAGTAGTGAGTTCGACTCTCATTTCGTGCTCCACATTTTCAGGCTTTTGCAACATCTAAGATATGCTCAGAAAATAATTTGGGCACATGGACGTGGTGTGATGGTTAACAAGACTGTTTCACTGTATCACAGCTCATCAGAGAGGCTAGACGTACGATTGCCTCTGTCTAGGATCGAAACCCAATAATATATATATATATATATATATATATATATATATATATATATATATATATATATATATATATCGTGTATAACAGCAAAAATTTTCCAATTCGTGCAAGTATGGGATAATTGTCCATGCCATAAAATGTTCAATATCTAAAAAACACTAAAATAATCGAGTTTCTTTTTTCCAGGTTTTCAGAGAAGATGCGTAGCCATTGTTGTCGCCATTTGTCGAGTTATTCAACTAGAAAAAAAAACATGTTAAAATCGTTTTGTGTGTCCCTTTATATCTTCCCAGTTGAACAATGATGAGAGGAGAAAGATCATTCAATCCTTCATAACTGTACTAATATTCATAATCTGGCTTTTATCTTCAAAGTCCATTCAAGAACCACCAATAGAACAGTGAATAAGTTTAAAAAAAAACAGGGGATAATAGTGAGGAAAACTGGTTCAGGAGGTCACAACATCGTTTCAACTTTGAGTTAAATACATTCTTATTGTTCATAGTAGAGTCTAATAGTGTTATAAAAACTTCGGAGAATTCCAGTAAGATATCTTTAATCATTTCTAAGATGCAACGGTTCAAAGCTTAATCTAACAATTGGACAATTTTGTTGTTACACGATTTGGACAATTTTGTTGCTAAACCCGACACACACACACACACACACACACACACACACACACACACACACACACACACACACACACACACACACACATATATATATATATATATATGTGAGGTAGCCTTCGTATATATCAGTCAGAGAGAAAAAGAGGCAAGTGAAAGAATTCATCTTTTCTTTGGCCGTGGTGTAAGCCTCGAAATGACTCGATACCCGTATATTTATGCAGACTGGAAACGTTTACATTAGCAGCAATTACGCTAGTTTCATAGACTTTCACAAAATCAGATCTTCCTTTGATTTGATTAGAAGCAGAATGTTATGAAAATTTCACACTTTAAAATATGCTACTACTGTATCATACATAATCACACCTCTAAGTAGACACAAATACGCACAATTTATTTTCTTTTAATCTTTTCCTTATTTCGTTTTCTAAACTGTTTCCTTTTAGAGGTGATTTTTTTTTCTTTTTGTTTTACAAGCCATTATCACAAATACAAAACGAAAGAATTCTACTTTAAATTCAAGCCAAACAACTGTTTAGGCTAGGAAGACTATAAAAATAAAACGCTTAAAAAGACATTTTTAAAAGATGCAAACAAAAGAAAGCGAATAACTACGCAAATGAGAAGAAGAGTGAAAAAAGTTCGCTAAAAGAAATCGCTTGCCTCCGCGCCTGCAACAGAAAATAAATATATAAATAAAAATATTCTTTGAGATTTCTGTTAAAAACATCGGAATATCTCTACTCCTACCGATAATAAACACAAATAAAATATAGAAAAATGACTAGAATTAATTTTTTAGCAAGACATACCAAAAAACGAAAAGGAAATAGAGGATGTGTTTTCGCATTTTTTAAATAGGGAAAAACAGAAGAAGAAATTAAAAAAAAAGAAAGAAATTAAGATAAAACAAATAAGATTTTTTTTCTTTACTTGTTATTTTTTTTCTAAAGCAAAAATCAGGGGTTTGCAGAAAAGGACCGATTAAGTTTGCTTTTTTATCTATATTTGGGGATTTTTTCACTGAAGACGATATTTTTTTCTATTTCTTAAGTTCTGGGATGTAAAAAATAATACTAGGATTGCGAAGACATTGTCTCTTAGAGGTAGAGGCTGCAACTCGATGCTTATTGTCAGCAAGAATGAAAAAAAAGGGAGAGGAAAAGCGATACACTTAAAATAGGCATGATGAAAAACGAAAACATGGTTGCATATTCAAGGACGAATATACACCCAACTACTACACGTATTCGTATCTACAGAATCATCCTTATACAGGCTCACGTTTCCTTCTATTTATAGATTAGTATTGGCACAATGCCACTAATACGCGGTAACCGGTGAGAATCGAACCTGTTCTGTATAGTCAACGACAGTGCTTCTGAAAGCGTGGTACGCGTACCGGTGCTAGGACGTGAGCCATCGTCTGCTGGTACGCGTAGTGTTTCCAGGAAACAAAGAACCGGTATTCACACTGTCGGGATATCTGACTCGTTTTTTTTTTAATATTTTCATTCTAGTTTGATATTTATCATGGTTATATTTTTCAATTATTCACTCATGTTAAAATTCATTGCTATACAATTAACGAATGCGATATAACAGTTGAACAGTAAACTGAAATACGTATGACAGCACCATCCTGATGATGTGGCGTGTGGCTGTGTGTGGACCAAATCTAGGAATACCAAAAACCATTTTCATGGACATATATTCATAAAAACCAATATAAAAGTAAAAAAAATAATGCAACATATATTGTTGTTGAAACTTGACTAATGCATGGAATAATAATGCAACACAAAATGTACTTAGAACAAAATGTATTGAAACAAGAAAGTGTACACAATATTTACATATAGTCTTTTGTATATTCCTGGTAAGACCGTTCCTGGAGAATGTGTTGACTGAGTCGCAGTCGGGCAGAGTCTCTGGTTGAATCTCTTGATTCCTTCCTCTCTTCCCGGTACCAACCATATTTATATGGTCGGTACTCCACTATGCAAATTAGGTGGATCCTACCACAACAATTGTATTCAATGTATCTTTCTGGTCTAAATAAGTAATACAACGAATAACGATTGTTCAAATAATATTTTCACGGAACCTTATTATATAGCGCAAATATGGTACCGGTCACCGGAACAGTGGTAAAATTTGTTACGTCAATGAAGAGTGGCTTTAGAATGAATAAAACATCATGCCCTCATGTTCAGTATATAGTCTCAAAATGACCCTGAAATAGAATATATTTAAAATCCGCCGAGAAGGCAATGGGTAACTACTTCACTACACTTCACTACCCAAGAAGTCAAGGCAATTCACAGATCATGATCAAAGACCCCAATAACAGAATGCACTTTCTTATTTATATAGAAGTTCTTGCAGATTTTAATGTATCTTTGAAAATCTTTAAAAAAACTATCAAAATGCAAATGGAAATCTGAGAAATGTGGCACAAACATCAATAATTCCAGTTGTGATTAGAGTCCTCGGATTGATTGGAAAAGGTTTTGATAGATTCTTTGAAGGGATTCCTGGTAACCCATGCATTACAGAAATACAAAATTTCTACTCTCAAGTACAGCTCACACATTATGAAGAGCCTTATTTATGAGAAATATTTGCGATCTAAGTTGTTTTTTTTTATTACAAAACATGATCAGTGGAAAATGTCATGAAGCCGTTTCTGACCTTAGGGAGGAAATGTGCATACAACATACATCCAAGGAAATAATAATAATAATAATAATAATAATAATAATAATAATAATAATAAAAATAAAAATAATAATAATAATAATAATAATAAACGTAATTTGGAGAACCATGGTCACCTATGCTTTGAAAGGACCTAGTATTAAAATAATAATTAAGATCTATAATTAAAATGTGCAGCAAGATCTATATTTATATTTCATATCATTTGCTAATGCACGACACAAAGATCCACTTAAATTGCTAGAAGAGCTTGATTTACAATGGAAAGATATTTCAATAATCCGTAACCTCAGTTGGGAGCAAACAGCCGACGGGCGAATAAAGAAAGTAGGTTCAACGAATTGACAAAAATAGAAAGAAAACAATATACACATCTTCAGAACTTCATGCCGAATACATGTTAATATTTTGGGATTTAACCATCATTCTCTAAGGATTTAGTGTTCTCGCCTATAATGAAGCCTTGTGACTCTTGAATCAACGTATTCTTTTTAACAAGATCAAATCATTTTACATGTTAATATTTGGGGATATAATCACTATTCCATAAGGATTTAGTAATTTCTCCTATAACGAATCTGTGTGACTCTTGAATCAACGTATTCTTTTTAACAAAATCAAATCATTTTCGTAAGCGAGAAAAACTAGCCTAAATTTATCTACTTAACCAGGGCTATGCTAGAATTTGCAAACTCTTTGACTGACATTCTTAATTCAAGAAAGTGTAATTCTTTCTACTTCAGGTATTCATTTAAAGGCGTTTTTCTTTATCCAATTTCTTCTTGGGTTAGGATATTTGAAAAAAAAATTCTTCAATTTAGCAACACCAATTTTTTTCTCATTTTGTTTAAGCAAAAACCGTTTCAGACAAAAGTGTCACCGAAAATAAATGAAAATATATTAGAAATTAATGAAAAAAAGCAGAAATAATTCTAATTTGTATGTAAGAAAACGATTAAAAATTATTCTTAATCTATTATAAATTATTATAGAAGACTATCAATTATGTCTATTGGCAATTATATCTATTATAAATTATTATAGAGGAATTATTCGCTTATTCAATGTATTGCTAATTAGAAGGTCTTAATACTTACTTCCCTTTCAAAATTTCTGTCAACAAACGAAAGTTGTTGATGTGATCAAAATTGGCGTAATTGGATGAAGTTTTGCTCTTTTAGTTCCAGCACAAAGTTTATATTTTGTGACTGCATAAAAAGTTAAGATGCCAAACCAGAACTTGTCCTGAATTAGGCTTCCTTATGTTTAGTCCTCTTTAACACCAGACTCCACCCATTCATCTTCATCATCCTTTATACCATGTTGACCGCCAGCTTTAGTACAGTTCATTAGGTACATATACTGGTCTATTTGCATCCACTTCT